GCCCTGCCTGCCTGCAGAGTGGCGCCAACAAGGGGCTGTGGTGGGTGGCTGGCCCCAGCCCCTGCCAGCCCTCCTCAGGGCATGTCAAAGCCTGCCTGTGGTGGCCATCACACCTTGGAGGTGCGTTGTCCCGGTGCCCTGAACCTGGATGGGGTTTCTCAGTGAGCTGCAGCATTGCCAACACATCGCTGTAAGGATGGAGAGCTGCCTTATGCCAGCATCTGTCCCGCTTGGATTTTGCTCTTTGACTTTGCCTGAATCCTGGAAAAACACCGCCATGCAGCAGCATTTGGGGAGCAAGCGGGCTGCAGGCACCATGCAGGAGAGCAGGATGGTGCCTGTGAGCAGCGGCAGGGGTGGGCCCTCATGGCGCCGGGCACCCAAGAGACCACCGACAGCGGAGCCTCTCGTGCTGCTCCCTTGTCTCAGCAGAGGAGAGGCACTGAGCCAAGCACTGGCACTCTCAAGGGTTTGCTGGACAAGCTGACATTGAAGGAGAACAAGGAGAAAGGCTGCCTCAGCACCCTGCCAAGGAACCTGGACTGCCCCACAAAGAGGATGCTCTGGACCATGCTCAGCCCATGTCTGAGGGAGGCGGTCAGTAGGAGCACGGGCGTTGGCACTGGCTAGTGTCTCTGGCATCCCTGGTGGTGCAGCAGGTGCCTGGGGTGGGGATGCATTAGGCCCTGGGGGAATGAGAGGAAGGGAGGGGAGGATGGCTCTCTGACATTACGCAGCTCTTTTTACAACCTAACTGAAGTGTAACAGGTTTCCTCTGCCCAGTGTGTGATGGGGCCAGGCTCCTACAACCCAAAACCCGTTGGGAGATCAGCGTACTCCAGCCAACCCCCATTCTGGTTACCTGCCAAGAGATCTGACAGAAAGCCCTACCTCCTCTTTACTGGGAACGAGGTGAGTGAACAGACATGGCGGTGAGAGAGGGATGCAGGAACCGTCAGGCTCTGAGCTTCCTCCATGACCATCCTTAATCCATTACCAACATCCCTGGGAGAGGATGAAACTCTTCTGAGCCAAAGTAAGGGTGGGCACCACCACCAGCTTCAGCCAGGTAAACGTTAGCTGTGTCCACTGAACAGAGCAGCACCCCAGCAGAAGTCCCGCATCAGGTGGCTCTCTGCGATAGAAGGGCAGACTCACCTCAGGAGGTGCTTTTCTCCCTGCGTTCATTATCAGAGAAACCTGGGTGACCTGGCCAGATACCCATCCTTTAGAGAGGAGATGAGGCCCTCCCTGAGTGCTGTTATTCTTGGCCAGAACAAGTTGCTAAAGAATAAACGGTGAATAAAGGCCCACGGCCCAATGTCCTGCCAGGTCAAGGAGAAGATGCCCCCTGCATACAGCAGCACACTGAGCATCCACCGGTGAGCATGTGCTGCCCGTAGGCAGGTGAGCTGGGCTGGTGCTGAGCAGAGGGGCAGGAGCTCAGCAACAACCACGTTATCTGTGCCTGCATCCTCAGGCCTTTGCCCTTTTCAAGGGATGCTCAGATAAGCCCATTAGTTTTGCTCTGCATGAGCTGTGAGCAAGCGGATGCACTTCATGGATAAGGGCAGCTGGGTTTGAGTCCTTTAGGTGCCAGGAGCAACTTGTATCCTCCCAGAAAGTCGTATTCTGCTGCTTGAAAGCCAGTTTTAACTCTGGCAGCATCAGTAGCACGTTGCAGAACCAGTGCAGGTAGAAGACCTTCCCTTAGTACCCGTTGCTGGAGCTGTACTCATCTTTGCAGCTTCCCCACAGAGAACCAGAACAAAGCCCAAAGGGCTCAAAGCAGACAGGGAAAGCTTCAGTCTGAAACAGTCCACCTTGGCTAGCGATGAGAAGCAGGCTTCCACGTGGCTTCTCTCCTTTATCCAGCTGAGCAGGGAACAAGCAACTTGAAAGAGGCCAAGGATGAAGACATCTTCGTAATTGCTGGGGAACTTGACAAATTACATTTCAGTGGGGAGGTGTTAAAGGGCAAGCCGCTGCCCGAGCACTCACACACCGTTCCAGGAGTCCCACTCACACCACCCGACACTTTAACTGCTAGGACCGGAGCCCCTTCGCAGCGGGCGACTCCGGTGAGCTGATGGGCGCCCCTTCTCAACACCTTGCTCACACACACGCTCACTCCTGGGCTCTTGCTTTTCCTTCAGACTCAACCTTAGGTTTCCTGTAGTCTCAGGCTTTGAATCTTAAAAAACCCTCACAATTTATTCAGTTGGTACAGCTGGAAAAACAGCTCGAGCTGGGTGCCTCCGGAGAGGGACTCCAGACAAAGAAATCCCTGGACAGTTGTGCCCTTTACCACCTCTGCTCTTCCTGTGCCCTTTTGGTCCAATGGTGATTTCTGGTCTGGGGTCTTCTAACACTTTACTGGATTTTTTTCTCTGTGTCCGGGCAGGCAGGCTGTCAGCTGTTCTTACATTGCCGAGTTGCAGCTTCTGCTGATGGTTGTAGTCTCCTCGTCTTCTGGTACGGGCTTCTTGCGCACCGGCTTGCAAGTAGAACGTGGGAAACTGAAGAAGTCCTAGACTTAGGATAAACACTACTTAGCAACAGCGAAAACATCCGTGTGTTGTCAGCGCTGTTCTCACACTAATTCCAAAACGCCGCATTGTACCAGCTACTAAGAAGAAAATTAACTCTGTCCCAACTGAAAGCACGTCTAGGTGAAAGTCACAGCTTGTGGCCTTGGCAATGGATTCCATTTGAGCTAGAAAATGTCTACTACAATAGAGGTTGTGACACGGCAGCCCCTCACTCCAGTGAGCAGTAGGTGGCTGGTGAGCGTGCTTGAGCTGATCGACTTCTTTATGGTGTGATGAGAACTGCTCATGAGGGGGACTGGCTGGGCTAACACCAATTATGGTGTCTTCTCCTCCCTCCCCTGCAATACAGGCTCGGTTTGGTTAAGATATGCCACATATCATTGTATTTTTTGCAACTGAAGGCCTGGCCATGTGAAGGCACTACCTGGTTTTGCCCCACTCACATCCCCCACGCTGCCTCTGGATGGGGAAGCACATGAGACCTTCTCCTTCCAGGACCCTGTAGGTGTTGGTCGCTACAACATCACCAAGCATGAAAAATACCCTCAGCAGATGAGATACCAGTCCCTGTACCGGCGTGGCGCGTAGCGGTACCCGAGTGACTTGAAGCGGGATGCCTGCCTGCTGTAATTCTGACAGACAAGGGGGCTGTAAGCGGTTTCACACTGGCTTACAGGAAAATCATCTTGAGCAGCTCTGGAGAGACCGAGCACGTTACTGGCACTACAACTGAAATAGGATGATTGTGGAGTTAAAGCACTGGGTTGGGACCAAGAAACACTCGCCAGCCCCACTGCAGGTTCCCTCTGTGGACAGGGAGGTTGGTATTGCTGTACCTCTCCCCTCCCAGGAAAGCAAGAAGACCTTCGTGCTTCCGCACCGCGTAGGGGTAGCGGGAGGGTTAAAGAACTACTGATTCTCAAGGCACTTCCCAGATGCCAAGGTGGTGGTTGTATCTTGTGAAATGGAATTTGCCCGCAGCAGAGGTGTAGGCAAATAGTTTCCATTCAGTTAGAGGAGGCAGCCTGAGAAGGAAATGGGAGGTGGATGGATAATCAGTCTTTCTGGACTCATTCCCAGTGGCAGCACTGGACTGCTCAATGGCCTCAAACAAAAATCACCTTCTTGGGCTGTGCCTTGGTTTACCCATCTGAGGAAGGAAGATAACAAAGGCTCACTTTCAACCACAAAGGGCTTTGCAATCGCTAGTGTGAAAACCCTGTGAAGCAGTTAGGAGCTATACTAATGAGAGACCTCAGGATAGCCCTCGGCTCTCACCTTTGCTGGTGGCCAAGATTAGCAAACTGCTGCGGTGGCACTATGGGCTGGCAGCTCTGCAAAGGTCTGTCTTGATCTCCGGAGAGCAGTTAGGAATCGGTCTTGGCTGAACATAACTCGGCAGCTTTCAGCGGGGCAGCCAGAAGTTAGCTATCCTATGATGGGGAAGCAGAATGAAATCTAGCTTTAGTA